AACTTTTTTTTACAATACTTACATAAAAATATAAAAATATTAGTTATATATGTATAGTATATAGAGAAAGCAATAGATAAGCATGAATAAGAAAGGTATTCAAGTGCAGCACATTGTGAATGATGAAAATTTTCTAAACGGCTGTATTATACTGCTTGCGGTATTATTATTAAGTCGGTTTAGCTCTTGAGCGCAATATGCACGTCCACGTGAATGGTTAAAAAAAAGAGTACATATTATAAAGAGCGCCGAACAATTATGATTTGCCTAATATTTTRTTGAAAAATAGATATGCTTAAGAAATGGAAGCATAGCTCTTGGCCATCAACGCCAATTCGACAATGAAGAGATTATGTTTGAAAATATTTTTTTACTTTTAACGCAGAGAAATAAAATTATAGTGTTTTACATTAAAATACAAAAACAAAACTGTACAATTTTATTAACAATTAATGAAAAAACTCAAATTTAATAACATAAATAACTTTCTTTGTATGCATTTATGTAGGTATACAATCAATAATGACTATGTACTCCATTCTGAACACAGTTTAAAACTAAAACAAATTAAAAAAGCTACTTTAATAATATGAAATTAATATTATTTCTTCAAAATATTCGTCATTTATTACTGAAACTCAAATATTTTGCATATTTTAGGTTGCGACATTCTGCAGTAGTCGTCTATATCCCTTTATCGACCTTATAATAATAATTTTTTTTAAATATTTAAAAGTTAAGAATTAAACTATTTATATTCGCAAGTGGGACTTTTAGAATATTATTTTTGTCGTATTACTTATTTATATTTATAATATAATAATTTAGTACATTTAATAATAAAATGAAGCAGCTGGGCTGGTTCGAAAGTGTTTACCATTKAAAGGTAGAAGCGGGTTTTGGCGCTCCGTTGCTTAGTGGCTTTAGTGCTAAATAGTTGACTACAGAGCTGAGCAGCTACGTACATATGTACATAGGTGCATGAGACCACGAATGCCATTTAAACATACTAGTACAGCACATACATATATGTATGTTTATATAAACGTTATTTTTATTTTCCTACGATAGTCTGTTCTATTTAAAATATGTTTGCTTTATATTTTCAGGGTTTTATATTTTATGTATTTGCCTTTTTAATCATCACCTCTCCATGCTTTTGAATAATTTATAGTAGTAATGAAATTTCGTATATATATTTTTSCATAGTATAGTATACATATTACAATATTTTATGGTTTATGTTTTTATCAAGTATTGTTTGGTTTTTCAATTTACTTTATATAGCTTACTACATACTAGTATGTCTGTGCAAGYTCTACGAAAATGAAGGGTTCTGTTTGTGAGTACGCAGTAATCGGTGTCTTGTATAGTAAGAAAATAATAACTTTTTTAAATTTGTGTGTTTGCGAAAGTATTTCTTTGCTGTTTTTTTTTTTTTCTTTAGAGAAGCGGCGCAATTTTATAACTGATAAGCTACATAAATACGAAGCAGTATAAACCTGAACCCTTCAAAGTCGTTTTTTCGTTTTTATATTTTATGTGTCAACACATTTTTGCAAAGTCTCTGGCCTCATACATTTATTATTTCGTTATTTTCTCATATGGTATGATTTTTTGTCTTTTGTAAATATGATATATAATAATTATATTTGTGACATTATATGACTTTTTCCGACCTTTCCTAAAAAGCATTTACATTAAATATGTAAGCATATTTCATAAATTTTACATTTGCATTCAAAGCCTTCAATGTTTTGTAGTGAAAATCATATTAAACTTTATTTTAAATTTCATTTCACTAAATTATATTCACATTTTGTTTACTTAGACAACGATCAGAGAGTTTAGAAAGAAAACTATTCGATTTTTCACCTACCAAAATAAATGGCGTGAGCATTTTATTATTACAAAAGGGAAAGAAAAGTTTTCGATTCCAGAAAATTTGTGAACATAGTCTGAATTTTGTTAAAGAAATTCGAAAAATCATCCTAAATAATATATTTGAGACCTACTAGCTTTCTGGATCCAATAGTCTTTTTGATTTTGATTGATATTTTACGTCTTTCTTTTAGTTTAAAAGCCTTTATATGAATATAAACAAATGTTATAATKAAATTTAGAGTGATGAGATATTTTTTGACTATCAATCAACAAAGTATGCAATCCAACGCTACAAATGAATTCTATCGAAGATCTAACCCTGGTTGAAGTATAAAAAATATAATATTTGACAATTTTTTCTAGACGTTATATTCATTTCAGTTGCAAAACAAGATTGAAATTGTTGCAAAGCTCTTTTCTTTGTGTTCATACATAAAGAAGAAATTTCAGACATAAAGAAGAGATTTCGATATACTATACTTGAAAAACTGAAACAATTTGGAAATTTGTTTCTCCAAGTTACAAAAAGGTTATATTCTATGAAAATGAACAAAGTAACAAGTATGAGTATTTTAAAAATTAAAAAAAATGACATACATTTTCTGAAATAAAATCCTTTTGTCGAATTTAAGAAAATGCGATTTTTTTTCGAAAACATTACTTCAAATAGAATTTTCACTAATTACAAATATTTACAACAAATTTCGCACTTAAAAATTGCTCTCTAATTAGTCGCGCCAATAAATCAATTGTGTTTTCATACCTATCTAAAATAATTTCAGCAGCAACCAAAATATTTGTTCACTTGTATATTGTAAAAAAACCTATCTGATGTTTAAAATCAATCGCTCCTTCTAAATCTAATATAAATATCTATAAATATGTTTGCAATAAACTATGAGATTTCAGTGCGCACACGTTCACAAATTGCGGCGCGCAATGCTGCGCTCGAACAAATCGAAAATGGTGGCAACTTGAAATTTGTTAGCAACCTAAATCGAATTAACCCGCTTTTTTCCGTGCTTGCCTTCTTCAAAACTGTCTTCATTAGAGTTGAAGAAGAACAAATAATCTAAGATAATAACTATGATAATAATAATCAACTAAAATATATAATACAATACTATGCAAGTGCCAGTTTTTTACGTTCATTTATTGTAATATATATAAATATATATATTTGCATCCATTAATTGATTCATAAGTTTATATATGTATATAATTTAAATGWTCCGTTTTTTGGTAGTTGCATCTACGTTCATTATTTGCTCTTTATAGCTCTTTAATTTTAAATTGTGATAATTTGACGATACTCATCCCTCTCTAATTGTTATCATGTTTGTTGTTGCATTATTTTTTATTTTGTTGTTTTAAAACTTGCTTACTTCGTTTTAGCGCTGCGTGTATCTTATCATTTACACATTAACCGTTATTTATGTCGTATTTCATTACATTTACGTGTATCGGTGAAATTATATAATAATATCTAAATTTGTTTGTTACACCGCCGGGCGGTATTACAGCAGTAGTAGCAACAGGTGAAAACTTCCTAAAGTGGCCAGTATCGATGAGTTGTGTGTATTTATGTAGTTGCGTATGTTTTTTCTGATGAATGTAATGTGCTGGCATAACGAGGATTATGCCAAACTGCTGCCGCAAATGTAGTTCGCTTACGTGCCATTTGCCTTTGGTAACGGTCGTACCAAATATAATTTTTCACCTTGCTTATTCGTATAAATCGGTGCTCTTTGGTAATGATCTACTAATTGATCTAGTGTGTGAAATTTACGTTGACCAATGCAGTACATGCTATTCTCAACGTGTACACGGAAGTGTTTATTGCGCCCTGGCGCCTTAAGAGAAACCGAATAATCACCCATCTGAAAGTGGAAAAGAAATGTTATATTTTAATATACAACTAAAATAGAATAGTTGTTATTGTTGTTGTAGCGGGCCGAACGAAAAACAAAAATAGTCGTACTGGTGAGTTTTAACTATAAAATAAAAAATATGAAGATAAAAATACAAACTCAACAAACCCAGCTCAAACTATTTCAGTAACATTTTAAATTAWTTCAAAGTTTCTTTGTTATTGCTGTTATTGTTGTTTTAACGGAAATCCTGTTTGCGTAGAATAGCCATCGAAAACATCTAACGAGAGCTCCAGAAAACATGCTGTTTCGAAGGGGTAGGATTATTGGGAAATGGATGTTAGATGAGCGGGTTCATGTGATGTAATTGTAATGCTAAAGTAGTTAGAATCAAACGGGGACACGCTGTATGGAAGAAATAGGTTTGGTATTTCGAGGTCGATTGTGGATAAGACGGTGTTTAACATTTATAAACTATCTGAAGATTACTTCGAAAGCATACGGGCCTCTATGTGTGTTTGACAACAACTTTTCTTTGTCTTTTAATCATGTGCTGTCTGATAACAACTTACGAATTTCATGCGTGTTTGTACATTGGCAATAATTGCGTGCGAAGAAGAAATAAATAACTATCTTCATGAATTTCTCGTTTCTTCTCTGCAAGGAGCCTACCACTCTCCTTTATCAAATTACTAATGGCATTCCTCTCCAGCTTCTTTCTCTCACGCTTAGTTAACTTTCAATGCACTTAAATTGAAGAAGTCTTATCTATGGTTGTTGAAAGAAGAAAAACACCGAACACCGAAGAAAATAAGGATATAAACGGACACAAGTTATATTACTACGTAGTCTTGTCTTGAAAATAGGATGAGCGAGGAATGAGGATTTGTTGAGTGATTAATGAACAAGGTGCCCAACTCGATGAAAGAAAGTGGGTGGGACCGATTGGGGATTTTGTAGTGGTAGCGGCGTAAGGCATTCAGTCAATAGTTTTGGAGACAATACATAATTAAAAATATATATAAGAATTTTAAATAAAAAATATAATAACAAATTCTAATTAAAATATTAAAAATAATTATTGTTCCAGGAATACTACTAATACTATCAATACTTACATTAGTCTCACTATCTCGTATAAGGAAATCACCATCATGTCCATGTTGATTCAATACTGTGTCGCATTGGCTACGGGTGATAGCGCCATAATACCAAGATTTTCCAGCCAAATTTGGCCGTTCCATCGGTGCCATAGGTGGTGAAGATTGCGCTGACATGCCGTCATTGCGACGATCAATTGAATCACCACCACTGCTACCGCCACCACCGCCATTGCCATTGCCACCACTATTATTACGGAACGGTGTAGCTAGATAATCGTTTAACTCTTGGAGATAGTTGCGTGGAACTAAACCGACTTGACCTTGATTATTTCTTGCCTTATACCAATCTGGATCAGATGCTGGACGATCCACAATTTCGAGTCTGTCTCCTTTCTCAAATGACAGTTCTTGGTCATTGTTCGATGAGAAGCTATAAAGCGCGACCTAAAGTGAATATGAGTTAAATTTAATGTATATCTTCTTGATTTTTTGTTTTTATTTGGTAAATAATTGAGAAAAGAAATGTTTACCACAATGTCGAGCACATTCTCCGCCATGGCATATGTGTGTATTTCACCATCATTATCACAATCCTCAGTTGTGTAATTACTTGGAAACCAGCCGACGGCATTTCCACTCTGGCCACGCCACCAGCCATCGTTTGACTTTTCAAGTATGAGAATACGTGTCCCTTTGCTCAGTGACAGTTCGTCAGGTTGTTGGGCTTGATAATTATATTTAACGATTGCAGTGCCAATAGCTTCGGCTGGATCTGGTGGTAAGCGACGTGACATTGTTGGACTTTCAATTTGCCTTGAGGGTGAACAATTTGGTAATGTTTTCGAACCGGAGCCTTTTTTCACTTTTTTCTTAATGCTGCAAGAGAGCAGAGTACAAAATTAAAACTATGAATATTGGAAGCAGTTATTTTTATTAAGAAAGCTTAGTATGAATGCCGCAATTGTATGCTAACGATTCAAATTTAAGAGGGTTTAGCTACATGTCATGGAATGCAATTCATTAGTTATATGGACTTTTGGTTAAACTATGTGTATTATATATATGGGTGGATTTCCTTTAATATAACGATACAGGGTATYTATGTGTATTTAATGCTACATTTATATCCGAATGTATTACAAGTAATTTAAACATGAAACACTTCTACAGGGTTGAAAAGATCTTACAAATGCACATGAAATATAATATGTAATGATATTTAAATTACCGTTATAATACGCAAACGTTTCTAGTTCTCCAAACATAAAGTAATGTTCTAAACTTTTTGAGAATATAACCTTTCACAAACCGATTAGTGACTTATGTATATAGGTTTATAGGTCAATTTACATTATTGAAATAGTATCACCTTTTCATAACTTTTGGTAACAATATATTCAAATTTTTCACTAATACATTTTTTTTTCGGGCAAAAAGTAAAGTAAAACGTTCAAAAAAAAAAAAAAAACAAGTGCTAACTTCCCAGACAAGCTTTGAAGAACGGTAATACAGACTATTAAATTTTTTTTACTTAGCTTTGTTAATAAGAATTTCAATTTTATATCTGATGTTGGTATGTCTTCCAGAAGAACAATAAACAATTAACACCATAAATTGGTAGACATGATATTTTAAATTCCCTTCTGAAAATCATGTATACGAACMTTGACACGATTTTAAAGTGAAGGACAATTTTTCTTGAATTAGTATTTGTTTTACATTGAGATCAGATCGATAAGTCGCTTGGAGCTGATCACTTTGTAAAAACCTGCGATTGTAAAAACAAAACTCTTCCCATAATGCTAGTTAWATAAAAATAATTGGTAAAGTATAAAAATAATAATTTGAGAAATATTCTGAAAATATTGATTAGGATTCCGCAGAAAATGCTGAATCACCTTTTAAAACAAAATCCTCAACTAATTTAATACACACTTCTGAAAAATTAAAGGCGCACTTTTTAGTGGACAGGATTATTTTAATAACATGCTAGAAGAATGCATTTCTTTTTTACGATGGCTGTTAGGAGTCTATTAGTCGAATCATTCATTACGAAGTATCTTGAATTTTTTGTTGGTTTTAGTGTTTTTTGTGTAATGATTGGAAACAAGGAGCGACAAACTACGAATACGAAAATCATATTGTAAGCAAAGCAACATGAATACCAAATTATAGACAAAACTAACACATTACAGAAAGTAAAACTCATAATTAGTGTTACATTCACAAAATAGCAAGAGTTATTAAACAGTATAAAGTGTTAAGTTCAGCTGCAGTAAATTGTATTTTTCCTACTAAGAACTTAAGTAGGCGGCAACTCACCTATCGAATAATGACGGTTTCTCCTTCTTCACATAATTGCTAGGTACATAACCTGACAGATTGCGATTATTTTGCACACGCCACCAATGTTTTGAATCGTCTAGCAGTAAATAGCGTTCATTTTTTCGCAAATCTAATTCTTGCGCACCTTGCGCCGCATAATCGTATTTGGCTACAACGTAGCAAACGTCTTCTTGTGATTTGCCTGTGAAATACCAAAGAGAAATATCAAAAGTAATTTGCATTCAATAAACAATTACAACCGACTAAAACAGCAACACACATACATACATAATGGCTTAATGCTCGGCTTTGTCCGGCGGTTCGCTTAACACAAAAATCGGTAAACATTGTTTTTATTTTACTCCTACTTCTTCTTGCAAAGATTTCTTTCGAAACAACGTTTTTGCAACATATTTAGTTGAATTATGATATAGCGTTATCTTTATGAATACTGTTACATTTATGCAATTATTTCTGTATGTATGTATGTATGCAGTCTACTTTTTGTTTATTACCAACCGTGTTTCATGTTGCCCGCCATTGATTGTTGACCGCAACTGGAGTTACCGCTGCTGCTGCCGCCGCTGTAATCGCCTGCGTATCCGGCGATATTGGACGCTGCCGTCACTTGACCGAAGGTCACGCTCTTGTGCTGTGCACTACAACTGGATGCGGTCGACAGGGTGCGTTGGTGTTGCTGCTGCTGCTGCTGCGACTGTGAGCGTGGTTGATATGAGGCGGTCACTGCAATTGTTGTTGCGTGTTGTTGTGGTATATGACGATGTTGATGTGCTGGCGAACCCGGTGTTGCTGGATAGGGCTGGGGTGGATATTGCTGGTGGTAGTGGGCACCGACTAAGCCACCACCACTACTATTGCCTATCAGTACGTGTGGTTGTTGATGTGATTGCTGGTGGTTATGATTATGATGATGTAATTGATGTTGATGTTGTTGTTGATTTATCGGTACGTTACTCGCCGTTGAGGAATCGGGGATATTGCGAGCGAATCGTTGGGGATATTCCAACATTCCAGTACTCCTCTATGCGCGGAGGAGGCGTCGTCCTACGGGTTCTCACTAGATTTACGGATGATGCTAATCACAACGGCGGAAATTTGACTCCTGAGTATAAGTGAAAATAGTTTCAATGTTGCCCTCGGTTAGTCTGACTCGTTGCCAATTGAGTTCATTCATTGCTATAACAACGATAACAACAACGAATAGACGACAGTTGGCGATGTGTATGATGTGTGTGAACCGAAATTGATGTGCATACGAGTTGAGTTGGTTGATGTGATCAATCAAGAAATGCAGAAAGAAAACAAATAAAGAAAGAGAAAAGGCCAACAAATTATAATTAAGGCATTCACTAGCAGTTAATAAGCAAATAGAATAACAATTATATATAATAATAGCAAATGCAAAAAAATATTTCGCAACCAATTCAAAATATGTTGGTGTGCTGGAAAATTATGTAGTATGTGTATGTATCGTACAACTATGTAACATAATGTATTTAAATAAAAGGCAAATAAATTAAAATTTTCAATGGTATATGTGCGAACCTAAATGAGTTACGGTCTTAATATATCCTCACAGAGTACAACACTACTGCTATCAGTGTGATTACCTCATRTCAGACACATACAAATCTACGACCCTTCCAACGGATGCAATATTTGTGTTGTGAATAAGATGTTTTTACGGATTCATAATATATTTTTTATTATTTTATTGAATCATAATATATTTTTGTTTCCAAAAACGTCACTGCAGAGCTCCCATTTATGATCTCCCATTTACTGAGCGTATATAACTTCAAATATGCATACGTGTGTATGTATGTGAGTGATAAGTAGTTGAAAAAATATAGACAGCCACATATATGTATTTTTAGAAGTTACAATTATAAAATTATATAGATTTGATTTCATTTGAAAAATATTATTTTACTCATAATGTCTATTATTAATTTCAAGTCAAGTTTGTATAATATGAAATCATATGTTTWATTAATTAAGGCGACATTCGCCCCATGTTTAATTTTAATTTAAATTATTTCTTTAGAACTTGTCGTTCTCGCTTTCATACAATATGATGTTCAATTTGTKCGACTCAACAAAATTGAATAGTTAACATTTCCATTCAACGGTTCACCGCTAACCAAGCCTACTTTTCATATAACGAAATTTATAAATCAAGCACGAATAAATTTATCAAAAAAGATTTGCACAAATTGTATCTTTAAACAATGTCCAAAATCGAACAATAACTTTTTAAGTCCCCAGATGCCAWAAAGGGGACGACAGTGAATAAAATGACTTTCTACTTAAAATATTGGTCAATCTGTGGGATATACTTGTATTATTAAAGCTCCGAGARAATATTTTCCTAATATTCATATACATTTTCGTCAAAAATGTATAAAATCGGGTCAATATTTCCCTTATCCCCCATATACTACATATAAAGAGAACAAATTTCCTTTAAAATAATACGAATAAAATTGGTATATGTACCAACATACTTCGTATAAGTCACATAAAGTTGTGTGCAAATTATAGTTAAATTTATYAATAATGGAAAGTAAATTAAGAATACACTCTTAAGAAATCGCTAATGATAAAAGCTAAGTTGAATCATACACAATGTTCATGTATTAGAAAAACGAGTATTTTGGCAAAAAATTTCTCGAATCTAAAAAAAATCTATTTGCTATTTAGCTTATTTTGTATTTACTTTCGTTTTATCAAAACAGATTAACATTTTTTAACGCTTATCATTTATTCCATGCGAAAGTAGTAATAGAAATGCATATACAGTTGCGAGCATTGAAATAGTAGTGCCTATTGGCCAAGAGAGTTTTGCTTTAAATTTTGTTTCTTTTATGATATTGCCGTCGATCATTATTTTAGTTATATTTTCTGAAGCATAACGGTCCTGTTATATACAACAATAAGTGTGAATTACTTACCCTTACTGTTTTAAAGCCAATTTTATTGGGATATCTGTTTTTATGAGCGAGCAATATAATAGTAGGCTAACGATGAGATGATTGCGAACAGATWATTTTTAATAAAAAAATTTAATTTTATCAAACAAAAAKTWAGTTTCCAGATCTTTTATTAATTATTCAATGCAAAAAGCAAAAAAAGAAATATGGCTTTTCACTGTTTTTTGGGCCGCGGGAAGCACTGCAGTGACGAAAAACGRGAATGTATTCAATCTGTCATAAACAACGGTAAATCCTATAAGGGAGTGGAAAGAATTGTAGGATGTTAAGCCACAATGACTCACAATGCAGTTATTTATAAAAAAAAGACGAAAAAGGGGGCGCAATATGGATTCTTTCCGAGAATTTTACACCAATAGYTGTAAGATGTGCCAAGACTCGACCTAGAATGTCAGCTATGGAGATTCGGAATGAACTGAACCTGGCCTGCGRTRTTCATACAGTGAGAAGACTTCTACATGAACATAATTTATATGTCCGCAGTCCTCGGTACTTATAAAAAAAAATCATATAGCAAGTTGTCTTAAATTTACCAAAGGAACGTTTGGGAATTTGCCGATTGAGAAATGGCGCAACATCTTGTGGACAGACGTGTCGCTCCCCTAATAGAGAGTACGACCCCAGATTCAGCACAAAAACTATGAAACTTGSCGGTTTGAATTTCATGGTTTGGTGTGTTTTTCTTACAGGCCCAATTTTTTTGTGCAGTCCCAATTCACAAGATTACTAGCATAACGGACCGACACAAATTCGTGGATATAATGCAGAATATTATGATGCCATTCGCTGAAGAGGACATGCCGCTGAAATGGATATTTCAGCAGGATAATGACCCGAAACATACCAGTAGGGTGGCAAAGGAGTGGTTTCGGGTCAATGGAATTGAGGTCATGAATTTACCAGCTCAATCCCATTGAAAACCTTTGGGCAGACGTTAAGAAAGCCGAATGGAATGACAAACCCAAAAACAACAATGAGTTGTGGACCGTAGTGCAGCAGGCATGGCAGAACATACCACTAAAAAGATGCCAGAGTCTCGTAGATTCTATGAAGAGGCGTTGTATTGCTGTTATTAAAAATCATGGCCATGCTACCAAGTACTAATATCTCGTATAGACGGACCTTCCAAAAATCCTTCAGTTAAAAAAAAAAATTATTACTTTACTACTACTTTACTGCTCCCATCAAATTTCATATACAAACACAACTTTGTGAATAAATATATCTTACACCCATTCAAATTAAAATATTTTTATTAATAAACGTAGCCAGGGAAATATGATAAACTTTTCCGTTTCAATTAATGTTAAAATTGTTTAGAATTTTGCATAACTCACAGGTATGTAAAACTCTAACACCCACTGCTATTTTACTGCTCGTAGCTGTATATTAGGGTGTCCATTATTTCCCAAGTCGAAGTTTCAGTTTATGTCAAGTTTTCAAACCATTTTACTTTGCTCAAATATTTTTAAGGATTCTATTTGTCTTTTGCATATTTTTAGTACATTTTATGTATACTATGAACTGGATATARCTTTAAAAGAATGGTTTTATGAAAAAATCAAAGAACATGTTTTTTAATAGAATATAATTTATTTTTGAGGCTGTGGGTTTAATTGTGCAATGCAGAAAATAAATAGTTCCATGTTATATGGACATATAATTTAGGCACGACTATATTTAAAACAAGAAAAAATGCTAACTTCGGTTGCACCCAAGCTAAATATCATTCACAGGTGCATTTCTGTTACTAACTATGTTTTCAGTTTGTATGG